ATGATACATAGATGAACATATGAAATTTCTTATAGCCATATACCAGAGCTAAACTTTCTTTCTTAATTTGGGAGTTTTCTTTTGGGGTTGGCCGTATTGGTCTGGGGCTGTCTGATAAACAGAGCCTTTTGGTTCGAGTTGATATGTTTTATTAGACCAACTTGGAGGTGGGTTGATGTTTCTAGCAAGCTTTCGGATAACACAGTATCCTTTTTCAAGATAAGTGGACTGCAGGAGGGGGTGACCTGTGTATACCGGGGAATCCATCAGTAGTCTTTTCTCAATTTGTGCATATAGATACTTTAATTTAGAGAGTGCCCTAGATGCATTTGCTACCAGTCTCCAGCTATCCCCACGTTTTTGAAGTAAAGCTGCTCCAATGCCTTCTCTATAAGCATCTGTTGACAATTTAATGGGTCTTTTAGGGTCATAGTATTTTAGTACTGGAGCTTTCACTATTTTTTCATTCAAGTTTTTAAATTCATCTTCATTCATGTTCCTAAATCCACTGAGCTTTTATTTGTAGGAGTGATCTAAGGTGTTTGGTCTGCTCTGCTAAATTAGGTAGATATTTCCCTATATAACTGATCATTCCCAGTAATCGTTGCACCTACACAATTGATCATTCCCAGTAATCTTTGCACTCCTTCCTTATCTGTAAGGGGTGGCATGTTTGTACTGGCTTTAACCTTTGCAGGATCGATTTGCACCCCTTTTTCAGAGAGCTTTTCTCCCAGATATGTTATTTATTTGACCCTGAATTTGCATTTTTGTTTGTTCAGTTTCAGACCTTCTCAGTGAGCTCTTTCTAGTACCTTTCTTAGCCTGAAGTCATGTTCTTCCATAGTATTTCCCTAAACTAATACATCATCAATATAAACCATAGTTCCATCAAGAACTTCAAAAATTTGTTGCACCTGTCTGTGAAACACTTCAGATACAGAACACGGTCCAAAAGGAAGCCTATGACAGCAATGCCTTCTGAAGGGAGTATTGAAGGTACATTATCTAATGCTATTCTCTTCTAGGGAACTTGGCAAAACCCAGAAGAGGCATCCAAAGGGGAGAAATATTTAGCTTCTGTCACATTGCCAAAAACCTCTTCTGTGGTGGGAATAAGAAAATACTCCCTTTTGATGTATCTGTTTATTTACTTAGGATCCAGACACAATCACAAGGATCCATCTTTTTTTTTTCTATTATGACCAGTGAATGAACCCAAGCAGTTGGTTGCTCTACTTTTTTTATATTTTCCATGTTCGCTAATCTACCCAAGTCCTTTTTCAGTCTCTCCCTTAGTACAAGGGGAACATTTCTTGGAGCACGTGTGGTGGAAATATTTGGTTCTCTTAATTCTATCTTGTACTCAGTTGACAGTTTCCCTATAACTTGAAACACATCATAAAACACTTCTTCTATGTTCTTGCTTTCTAGTCCCTCAATGGCATCCATTCTTTTAATGAAACCTAGAGTTTTACACATTTGCAACCCGATAATTGCCACTAGCTTTCCTGGGACTATTACAAACTGAACTTTTATATTACCCTTGTATCTAACATGCAGTGCACAAACAACCTTGGTTGCAATCATGTTCCCATTAGACGCTCTAAATTTCACTTTCTTATGCTCATAGTACACAGGTTTAGTTTGTTTGTTTTTTTTAAATAATGTATTCTGGTATTACATTGACCTGTGCCCCTGTATTTAATTTAAAAGTTACCATTAGTCCATTGGTGTCTTGGGTGATTGTCCAATTCTCAGAAGAATTAACTTCCTGTATTGTGCCAATGAAGAATTCTTCCTCGTCCTTGTTGCATAGAGCATGCACCTGCTATTTCTTGTGTGGCACATCCTGCTCCTTTCTGCAAACTTTTGCGAAGCAATTGAATCTTTAGCATTTGTTGAAGTGCTAACCAAATGCAGGGCACTCTATGGGTTTGTGGTAACCCCCACAGCATCTGTAGCTGACCACTGTTTCTTCAAGCAATTCTCTTTGGCCTCTGCTTGCCTGCTTCATAGTGAGGTCCTCCTTCCTGTGTTGTTTATGTGTTGCCATAGGTTTTTGTAGTCTTGTAATCCTTTCTAGTTCATCTTGTTCTTCTTTTTCCTCCAGCTTCTGCAGTCTGTTATCTCAGCCTCTTGGCACATTCTAACTGCCTTTTCCAAGTTAAGCTCAGAATCCTCTAGCAGTCTTTTCCTGAGGCTTGTATCCCTTATACCTAATAGTATTTGGTCTCTGATCATGAACTCTTTTAGGTCTCCAAAGCTGCATGTCTGGCTCAGCAGTTTGAAGTCTTTGAGAAACCCCTCTATTGTCTCTCATTCTTTCTGCTGTCTCATGTGGAAATTATGCCATTCAAAGATTTAATTTTGTTTGGGTATACAATATTCCTCAAACTTTTTTATCTCTCTGCCAGAGCTTTTCTGATTTGCTTCTGACAGTTGTAGGCTACAATATTATTATTATTATTATTATTACAGTATTATTATTATAGCATTAAATATATTTATTCAGAGAGCCTTCTTAGCCTACTGATCTGCTGTTCTCTCCAGTATTCCCTGGGCCAATGTAACAATTTATATTATAACACTCTTAACGGTATCCAGGGGTGTAGGTTTTAGCCGTGTTGGTCTAAGGACATAGGCAGACAAGGTTCCTTGGGTGAATTTGATATCTTTTATTAGACCAACCCAAATAGTTGGAGAATAGTTACTAAGCAAGCTTTCGGGTTCAAAAACCCTTCGTCAGGCTAAGGAAGTCTTAGCAGTTGGTGTGTGCTCTTCCTGGATGGAATGAAAAGTAAAGAAGTCAGAGGCTGGGCTGGGGATTATAATGTGGCAGATTATAATGTGTCAAAAATCCAATGTCTATATTTAGTCCATGATCTCTAGTATCCATTTCATCAACCTCCTGGATACTAGAGATCAGGGACTAAACATAGACATTGGATTTTTGACACATTATAATCTGCCTGGCAACTGACTCCCCAGCCCAGCCTCTAAGATTTGCCCATAAAATAACTTCTTACCCCAGTAAATCTTCATCTAACCTGGTTCAGTCTGAGTTTTGTGGATCCAGCAGGGAAAGTTTTGCCAGGTTATGATGTACCCCTACAGTTTATATGGTATAGGTTCTGTGAAAGAGGCAAACTCAGAGTTATCAATTGCTCTGAAAATCACCTTAACCAGAGGCAATCATTAAAGTAAACACAATATCAAAAAATGTTTATTACCTGGGATCCGGATTTTCCATTTCCCACAGAAAAATGGAAAAAACCGTGGATTTTTCCTTTTAATTGAGAAAAATGCAGATTTCTCATTTTAACAAAAAACACGTGGATTTTGCACCTTTGCAAAGAGCTCTCCGGAGGCTGGCAGAGCTCCTTGCTGCTGTGAGACCTGCGCCACCCTGGCAAGGCACCCCCTGCCTGCCTGGCAGGGCAGGGGCAGTGGCACGGAGTTGTGACCCTTGCTTCTGCCGGGTTGGCAGGGGGCATGGCAGCAAGGAGCTTTCCTACCCTGCTCTGCCCTGCCATGCTAGGAACCACCCACTGGGCCGCGGAGGCCCCTGCAGCCAGCAGCCCACACCCAGCCCACCGTAGGCTGTGCTCTAGCTGTCCCACCCGCAGGGGAGAGGGAGCTGGGCTCTGTGCTCTGCTCGGGCTGCAGCAGCTGCCACCTCCCATGGGTGGCAGCCAGGGCTCAGGTGCTGCTGCAGATGGGCAGGAGGCTTCGGACCCATGTCCCTGGCTCCACAGCCCCTCTGGCAGAGCTGGAGCGGGCGGGGGGCTGTGGGTGGGGAGTGAGGAGCCTGGACTTGAGTCTTGGTGAGCAAAAAGGGTAGGGGAAGCTCTGATTTTCCATAATAAAAAACCCCCAAAATCAAATACCCAAATTGATAGGTATTTAGAAGTTATTTTAGTATAGTGATTGAGGCATTGGTAGGCTTCCAAATTGCTTTAAAATGGTAAATATATCAATAAAACATTGTGTTCAACTGATACCTATATATATGGTGGCCTTTCATTTTAATTATGGATTTGGGGGGGTTATCAGAGAATTTGCATTTTTATCAGAGAAGTTGCAATATTTAAACAGAGAAAACCAGGATCCCTATTTATTACACAAGCAAGAAAAATCACATTAACAAATAGGTGCAGATTGTACAGACTGAATATGAGAAATGAACGCCCCCAAATTGAAGTAAGATCTCACTCCGCATTTTTTATTAAAATGCAGGACCTCTCTGCCCAAAGCACTGCCCCTTTTCTCTCCTAGCAGTTTGCTTGCAGGTTATCCCAGCTTCTGCCAGCTTAGGAACTGGATCACTTAAAGCCTAGGGATCCCTAGACCATGAAATGAGAAGGGCTAGATTTGCTATATGTAACTGCTGATGCTCAGGGTCCATGTTCCCTTCTTATGGAGACATCTTACAAAATGAAGGCTTTTCCAACACAAACCACTTTAGGTTTCATAATTGGAGGTTGTGACATCTGGAAACTTAGATCCAGCCAGCTGGCAGAGGGTTGGGGGGGAGAAGGGCAGGCAAGGAGAGAGAGGGCGAGGGGGAAGGGGAAACTAGATCATTTCCAGCTTCTTCCCCTTCCCCCATTACGTGTGTGTGATATATTAAAAGCCTGTTGTTCCCTAGCCAGGCTCTGCCTTTGTAGGATCTGAAAAGGTCTGGTTCTGCTGTCTGCTGTCTAGCGCTCTATTTAGGCAACATTTTGGGCCCACAAGGCATCCTCCTTCTGAAAAAAGTGCACTTGCTAGCTCATGTCCCTTACTCGCAGCGTGCCAGCTCAGGCTGCTTACCAGCTTCTTTAAGAACAAGAGTCTCCCTCCTGGCTGTGATCCAGCCTCCCAACCAGCAGCAGACTCAAAGCTAAGTGGCCCCCTACTGGTAGAGAATAACTTGAGGCAAAGGGGAAATGCTCCAACAGCAAACTCTCCAAGTGAGTCAGAGGGCTGGGCTGGGATGAGAAGGCACGGGAATTGGTTTGTTGAAGCAGGTGATACGGGAAGTAATTAATTGGCAAACACTTGCTGCCAGCACTCTCTATTCAAGATGGAGCCTGTGAAAGTTTTGCTACTCCTGCTGCACTGCAAGTTCACTGTTGCCACCACAGGTAATTCGAATTCATAGTGCTGTTGTCTTCGATTTTTTTCCTATAGCCATGTGATTTCTTTCAAGCGCTGAGAGATGTGTTCTTGCTAAGAGGAGGTTTCTTATCGTTTGACTTCTAAGCCAAATGTGTGGCTTGCTAGTGTCTTTTGAAGCATGAAACAGAGAATGCTATAATCCTCTGACTTTTGAGGCAGAATGCGGTGGCCTGTCTTCAGGGGTGTAGGTTGCAGCTCTGTTGGTCTAAGGACTTCGGCAGACAAGGTTCTTTGGGTAAATCCGGTATCTTTTATTAGATTAACTCAGATAGTTGGAAAAATTCTTCTTAGCAAGCTCTCGGGCACAAACGCCCTTCATCAGGCTGAGGTAGACTGTCTTGGCATTCACAGGGTTTATTCCAATGGCCTTGGAAATAAAACACACAGGACAAGGTGGAACAAGGCAACTGGGCCTCCAAGGCAGCAGTGATGCAGAGGCCGTGGCAACCTCCAGCTGCCCCAATACTGCTGGTGTATCTGCAGCAGTGGCATCTCCGTGCCTGGGTTGTTTTCCTGGTTGCCCTGCCTTAGTTTTGCTACTGAGCCCAGTCAGGATGCACAAAATTAGACACAGTGACTCTGCTGCTCCAATTAGTACAGAAACATCATGAACTTAAAAAGATTCCCTTCTACATGCATATTAGTTGTACTCTGAGCAACACAGGAAATCCTTATAATAGACAAGAGGGTGAACAGCTTGCTGTAGGCTGAGTAGCTCTGCTGAGTATGGTCAGGAAGAGAGAGGGTTTTTGGGCAACAGGGAAAAGAAAATATTTTAAAAGACAGGAAAATGCATCTGTAAAACAGCAAACAGCTAGAGTCCTCAGGGCAAAAGTGGGGCTTGGAACTCATTTATGAATTGGACTCTAAGCTATTATTGCTTTTAGATGCCATGATCTGCCCCCCCACCCCCAGTGATGACAGATTTGGACTCTGTACACTGTAAAGAGGTGGGAATGGAATGGCAAGAGCTAAGTTCAGGTTCCTCAGTCCATCTGCACTCTCAGCAATACTGATTCCCTGCTGGTAACATGCACAGGCCCAGACCCAAGACTTTTGTGACTCTAGGATAGCACAAATCCTTGGTGTAAGGCCAGATTACTTAGCCAGGACCATGCTTTAGTGTTTAGGAAGTTCTATGTTTGGTCATTTGTCCTTCTTCCAGCAAGCCTAAAACAGGCCAGGAACTTTGTCCTAAGGATTTTATGGTGCCTGCAACAGCGTACAGTGTTTCTAGAATGACTAACAGGCTGAAGTAGTGCTGATCAGGACATGATTTTGCATGCTTCTGGCAGCACACCTATCTCCCAGCAGCATAATACATGTGGTTTGGCAGGTTGGAGAAAGTTGCAGCCCAATAGCTCACCAGAGTTTATACCCTGAGCTTCCATGCCATCTTCAGGCTGTAGCTGTGGCTATGTACAGACATCAAGTTTCTCCAGG